TACTTTAGGCTTTTAAGTTGGACATTGTTTAGTTATTCTCTGTAAGATTAGTATCCCTGAGAAATCGTGATAGATCATTCTCGTTCGTGATTGTGTACAGTTGACCTACATTTGTTTTCCTAACTAGAATTTTCCCATCCCGTGTGAAGCATTGGTGTATTGTGTCATTATTCTCTCGCTTAAGTTTTCTGACTCTATACAGGAGGTTCTGACGTTTTTTGGTAAGACACTCGTTTATGTATACCTCTTTCTTTACTTTAACAGATGCAATAATTAAGTCTTTTTTCTTGTCATGTGAGTGGAATCTAAGCATAACACTTTTTCTACCATGGGATCTTCCCAGCTTATATCGGTTAGGACTTGGTTTACTTGGTCCCACTTTATGTTTTTGTTATTGAAGTTGAATTTGGTGAATGCTCCCTCGTGACTAGTCTCATTATGTCGGTCTGGGGCTCCGCGCATACATGTGTGAACCTCAATTATGTTGTGATCTGAGTATATTGTTTTTGATATGGTGACATTTCTTATCAGATCATCATTGTTAGTGAAGATGAGGTCTAGTGTATTCTCCAGTCTAGTAGGCTCTATTATTTGCTGGTTTAAATAGAATTTTGTGCAGAGATTTAAAAGCTCGTGTGAGTGTGAGTTTTCATCAGAGCTGCCTCCTGGTGTTATTGCTGCAACAATATTATTTGCTATATTCCTCCATTTTAGGTGCCTTAAGTTGAAATCCCCCAGGAGCAAGATGTTGGGTGCAGGAGCTGGAAGATTTTCCAGACAGTGGTCAATTTTTAACAGCTGTTCCTGGAATTGCTGGGATGTTGCATCCAGAGGCTTGTAGACTACCACAATGACTAGGTTTTGGTTCTCGACCTTTACTGCTAAAACTTCCACTACATCATTTGAGGCATTAAGCAGTTCTGTGCAAACAAGTGACTCTGCAATGTACAGGCCAACCCCCCCCCCCCCCCACCTTTTGCCTGTTCACTCTGTCACATCTGTATAGGTTGTAACCTGGGATCCATATTTCGTTGTCCAAGTGATCCTTTATGTGGGTCTCAGTGAAAGCCGCGAACATTGCCTTTGCCTCTGCAAGCAGTCCACGGATGAAAGGTATTTTGTTGTTTGTTGCTGGCTTTAGACCCTGTATATTTGCAAAGAAGAATGTTATCGGACTGGTGGTATTGTTGGTACTGAGGGAGGATTTTTTTTCCGGCATTAGTATCTGTATCTGTTGGTTTGGAGTGGAGGCCATCGACTGTGGTATGCTAAAATTACTAAATAAATAAATAAATAAATATGCAGGAATGCACATCCACCAACTTCGCCTCCTATCTGAGAGGCGCCAACACAATTTTAACCTCTAGAGCACGAAAAATTCTTCCCATTACACCAACGTTTGTACAAAATTCAAAACCAAGATGGAGAGTCTCGTCTGTGCAGACGCAGGCTTTTCGTTTTCTATGACATAAATATTATTAAATACAGTATGGCCATCTATTTACATATAAATACTGAATTTCTGGAAAATATATACAGTATTTTCCACAATACCTGTGACTCATCTGAGTTTTCAACTTCCAGTTGTGTCCCATCTCTGAAGCATCCTCCCCCTATCCACCTTGTCAAGGAGGAAAGGTTTAAGAGTGAGTGTGATGACAGGTCCTGTAGGGAAGCTTACAATTTGTGTAGGAAGCTCCAATCCTTTATGCTATGAAATTCCTGATCTTGGACTGGCATTCTGTATTAGGTTGGGCGCTGGTATTATTATAATAAAAAAGAAGCGCTAAACCATAAGGGCTATACAGCGCTGCTGGGCGCTGGTATGTACTACTTGCAAAGGGTGAATTTTGAAATGACGTCTGGTTTCCATTGTCCCTGTGAGATGTTGAAATTTAAGGTGGTAGCTATGAGGACAGATTCTATGATTTTGCGTTTTTAACTGCAGTGTGATTTGTGTTTGATGGTTGCAGCTACCCAATGAATACTGTGGTTGTTGATGCTGACATGTTGAAAAGCCGATTGTATGATATGCTGAAAAACGGCTGAACTCTCCTGTGCATAACGTATTAGTCTCTGATGCTCGATGATCCTCATGGATAGTATTCAGCCTGTCTGTCCAGTATAAACTTGGTTGCAGTCTTTGCGTGTTATCTGGCAGAGTTCTGGTGTGTCTTGCATAGCTAAATGTTTGTGTTTCTTGGAAAAGAGATTCCCCAGTTTGTTAGGATATTAAGTGAATTTGTTGGTCACTTTGTTGAAACGATTGATTGTACCTTGGTTGAGATTTGCTGGATGGAGTTTGAGTGTGGAAAATTTTATAGGGGTGAATACCTTTATGTACCTCAACATTATATACATACAAGTAATCTCATTGGTAGACAACCATATTGTTTACCGTAGTCACCCCGTGTAGACATGTGAGAAAACTTAACCACCCCTGGTCACGGCAGGTGGTCCCTTCGACCTCACAATCTTATCCATACCTATCCGAGACCAGTATGGATTGGATAGCACCCACAAGTACGGTGCTACTAATTAATTGTGGACTGTATAGATTATATTAGTGTAACTGAATGAAGGCGGGGGGGGGGGGGGGGGTAGGTCACACATGGATGTATCCATCAAGGAAAAACCACTTATACATAATCTCTCCACTTACCAGATATTCTCTGGTCGTCACTTGATGTAGCTGGATCACTCATAACCTATCCAATTACAACATACCTAACTGGCCAGTATCAGTCTGCTATAACTAGAAGGGTTACTTAACTGTGGGTGATTGATACTCCTTATTTCCTCCATTCACCATCTCATTTCGATGTCCTGCTACACCGACACGGTTCTCATTCCAGCATGAAGAGGTATCCGTTGGTTTGTCCCGGTTTAGAAGTCGTGGCTCAATGAACTTCACTTTCCTCGTCTCGAGAACAACGAGGTCTAACGTGTTCACTCGGAGCAAGGCGACTTATTTCACTTCACGCATTCTCTTAACTTAGCGTTATTATCATTAATTACATTACAATTCACAAGACGATTTAATGTCTCATAATTATTATACACATTAGAGATCACTCCATTAAGATCTGAGATCGACGAGTGATGATAAAACCAAGGGTAATTTTAAACCAAGGGTAATTTTCCCCGGGACACAGTCCATGGTGACGCGCCAGTCACCCAGTCCTACTCTTATTCACTCATTTTACCACTTTATTACGGTGGTCCCGTAAATCACGTTCCCTTACTCTCCACCAGGAACAGTTACGACACTTCGTATTATGAAATGAGGCCTATATTAATCATTAGGCTGCCGTGAACGCCAATTTCCTGGTTCCAGGGTTTTCCCCAAGCCCCCTCATCCCTTAAAAAACACTCCCGCCCCCCCCCTTTCCCCGAGTGGGCCTTACCCCCAAAAATTCGCGCATCCCAAAAAGGGAACTTTGGTTCTTTTCCTATTGTCAAATCCCATTTTTGACTCATCGACACTTTAAAAAACCCATTAGGCGCTAAAAGTTTGGGAAAACCCAAAAAAAATTTTCCCCCTTGATTTTTTTGGGGAATTTGGGGTTTTCTGAAATACTGATTTTTGTTTTTTTCCCATTGTTTTTACAAATCTGTAGGGAAATCCAAATTTTGGGGAAAATTTTCTTTGGATTCTTTTTTTTGGTCCCGACTTAAGAGGTGAATATCCATGGGGGGGGTTTTATTATTGACATGACAAGTGTTTTTTACATTTTATTTAAATATATATATATATTAAATATATATATATATATATATATATATACATATATATATATTATATTTTTAAATTATATATATTTATATTATATATTTTATTTTATTTTTTTCAACAATTTTGGGGCCCGGTTCCCCACCGAGGCAGGGTGACCCAAAAAAAAAAAAAAAACCCCCAAAAAAAAAATGCTTCTCATCTTCAACATTTTCCCCCAAAACTACACATAATCACTGTTTTGTAAGGTGCTCAAAAATACAAGTTTAGAAGCTTTATATAAAATAAAGATACACAACAAAATCCCCCCAAATTCCAATACCCCAAAACCCCCCTTTAAAGTGCAGGCTTTGTATTTCCCCATTTCCGGACTAAAAGGGCCCCGACTATATGAAAAAAACCCGGGTTTCCCTAAAACCCTTCACAAAAAATATTCCCCTTCTCACACTCCAACAGATGTCAGGCCCCCGGGTTCCCATTCGTCTCCATTCACTCCTATCTAACATGCTCACGCAGTTTTCGGGAAGCCCAAAAGCCCCTTGCCCACAAAACCCCCTTTTAACCCCCTCCCCCCACCCCTTTTTCGGGGATGACCCCTACCTCCCCTTTCCCTTTCCCCTATAGTTTTTTAAAATTTTTCCATGTCTTCTACTTTAAATCCATTTTCTCAAAATGCCCAAACCAAAACCCCTAAAACAACCCCTCTTCTCCCCTCTAATACTTTTTTTAAAATTTCCCACCCCTTTTTCCTAATTTTCCAAACACCCCAAAATTTTTCGGCAAAATTTTTTTTACACCACACATTGCCCTTAGCAGGAAAAACTCCAGCCTCCAAATCCCCTCGCTGCTGAAATTTAAAAACCCTTTATAAGATTTTGGGGAAATACTATCCCTTTATACTTTTCCCCTTCTTTCCTCCATAGTAACGTTTTTTCACTCCACATATACCTAAATGCCCCACTCCCCTTTTTTTTCCCTCATAAAAAATTTTTCTATGTTAACCTAATCCCCCAAAAACCCATCCGCCGAACGTTCAACTCCCAAAAACTGAAAACTTTTACTTCTTCCATATCCTCCTCCCCAATTTGATATAAAAATTTTTCCCTTTTCTAAATCATTTGATACCCTCACCCACCTTACCTTTTCTATGTTCACTTTAAATTTTTTTTTTCCAAAAAACCCTTTTACCAACTTTTCCCCAAACTTGTCCACTAACCTTTGCAATTTTTCTTTAGAATCTCCCCTAAAACACAGTATCATCACAAAAAATAAAATGTGTTTTCCCCCTTTTGAAAATTTTATTCCCCCTAATTTTTAAACCCACCCCCCTCCCGAACAAACCCCAGGGAAATTTTCTTTTTTTTACAACCCCATCTATAAATTTTATTAAACAAACCCTGATGACATTACACATCCCTGTCTAAGCCCCACTTTTTTAAAACCGGGGAAATAGTCTCCCTCTCTTCTACCCCCACCCTAAAACCGAAA